AGGCTTGTATTGATATTTGAGAACATTGAGGCCGGGGTCCTCACAGTCTACCCGGAGTAACCAACATATGATGATGAGTATGATGATGATGATGCTAAAACTGATGATTTTCTGCTAATCAGAATCATGAACTGAGCAGTCACACTCTAAGTACTAGCCAATAAGGAAGATTGATCAGGAAGGCTAATCAGAATGTTCTCTACTCAGAACTACAACATGGGACCCTATCCTAATTCCAGGTATTTCTACCAATTCCAACAATTGTCATCTGATGTTGTGTTGTGTATCAATCCCACCTCTACCCAGTCTCACACCCTCTATTTAGCTAAGTTACAGGGCAACGCTACCCGCCCCAGCTCCGAGCATCGTCGGCAGGATTGTTACCGTCGGTCAAATTAGTGGACTGCCTTCCTCCCTCAGCAATCCCCAGATCTCTCTACAAGACCTCAAGCTCCTAGTAGTTTAGGTTACAAGGCGATGCCCCAACACCGGTCAGCGTCGTTCTGGCATCAACTCGACCTAGGCAAGTGCACATTCACAACTCAATAAGACAATCAACAAACTTGATAATAATACCTAAAAATAAAGGATTTTATTTAGTTGAGTCCCCAGCAGATGACGTATCTGATGAGGGTGGTGATGATAATGATTGACGTTAGTAGATACGGATTTTATTCCTCTTTCCCCCACTGTTCCTTCTCGCCCCTTGTTGCCTCCACTGAAATGAACCTCCCTGATGAGTAGTCTTTTTTCAGCCCCAACCTGGGACAGTCCCACTTACAGTCGTACTCACCATTAGGTCCTACCATTCCCCCCAAAGTATGACCCAATCAAGTTGTTGCCCTAATCTGCCCCCGCCGGATTATCAGCCCCAGATTAGCGCAATCCCCGATCTACTTCCACTCCTAACAGAGCATCACTTCCCACCTTGCGATGCCCTTATAGAGTTTCAATTTTCCCCACCTTTCCCACTTACCTTCTCTCATATTCTAATAAAACGCAATCAGAGGAATTTTTTGAAAAACCTAACGATGTAGATACTGCTGCTTTTGATGATGATATTGATGATGATGGCCCTTGATGTAGATTCAACTTCCCCTCTCCTCCCCTGCCTCTTCCCCCCTCTTCCTCTCCTCCTCTCTCTGTGCTGCCCCCGCTGAGCGGAATCAATCTGCAAACAGTTAAATTCCCTCAGCCCCAGCTAGAGAAAGCCATCTCCTCTTCCTTTACTCCCTTGAGTAATCAGTTCCCCCCACTGATTATCTCAAGCTAGGTGTGCCCTAATCTGCCACCACTGGGATCTTCCCCAGCCCCAAACTAGAACACTCCCCCTTGTTTGCCCGTTCTCCCTCAAAGGCTAGCACCTCCCTCCTTGCGCTTCCTTTGTAGAGTAGAGTTCGCCCCACCTTTAATCCACTTACCTTCTCGCCATATCTGACTCTAAAGCCTATGAGGAGAAATCAACTAGTTAGATGATAGTGATGAAGAATACTAAAGAATGATTTATAAACAGATGATGGTGATGATGATGGTGATGATGTCAGAATGACTCTACATAAAATTTAGTGAGGGAACTATTTGGGGAATTGTATTTCGAAAAGGGGCGTGAAATTCAATGTCGTAATGATAAATTGGATTTAGAGCAGACACAAGTTTGCTCTGTGGAAGATGGCGTCCTGCGTTGAAGATAATTAGTAAGAATAATTAATATTGGGTTTATATTGACGAAGTCAATAATGGTGATGACGTGGCATTGATTAATAAATTAATGAATAAGTGTCGCAGAAGATGAACATGAATATGTGTCGCAGAAGATGAACGTGGCAGCTATATTGCTGCTAATGATGATGAAAACTGGTGATGTTCACATGAAGATGACATAATGGTGCTCCACAACTGATGATCTTGAAACTCTTGATGCTTTTGATGAAAAGCCTGCACAAAATACAAACATTGATGCTTTTGATGAAAAGCCTGCACGAAATACAAACAAGAACAAAAAAACACAGATAAATTTAATGATGATCCTCCAGCTTGACGATATCCTCCCGCTCTGTGTTGAAGTTTTAAATAGGGCAAGCGATCTCCACACTTCGGTCTCCTTGGGGCTGACTCCACTTTCGTCCACCGACGTCGACATTAGCCAACTTGCAAGAGCTCTCCAACCTCTTAAGGGAAACAACTATGGAGTACTTAATGTAGAAGACACCGGAAAAATGTTCAAATAGCAGCCACCACCACTATTCCCCTTTCTTCTCTGTGCCTCAGGCCAGATGCCACGTCAGCCTGTGACGTGGCACTGGCCAAGCGCCTCCGGATTCCGCGCGTATGTAAAACGCTGTCATCTCTCCAATCCACCTCACCACAGAACCCGCGCACCAACGCCTCCCTCCCGCCGACAACTTGCGGTATGCCGCGTGTCAGACACTATTGCTATTCACTTGCTGAGCCAGCGCCTCGCCAACTATAAGTGGCCAGCGCCCCGCCCCTCACATGCTGCCAGCGCTTCGCTTCCCACTAGCAGCCAGC